AGTCTCCTGCCTCCGCCTCCCAAGTAGCTGGGACCACAGGCGCCCGCCACAACGCCCAGCTATTTTTTGGTTGCAGCCATTATTGTTGTTTGGCGGGCCCGGGCTGGATTTGAACCCACCACCTTAGATGTATGTGGCTGGTGCCTTAGCCACTTGAGCCACAGGTGCCGAGCCAGCTCTCTTTTATTTTGATTCTGTATAGAGAGATTATAAAAGTAACAGAGGTTGGGCAGCGCCTGTGGCTCAAAGGAGTAGGGCACTGGCCCCATATGCCAGAAATGGTGGGTTCAAACCCAGCCCCGGCCAAAAACTGCAAAAAAACAGTAACAGAAGTTAAAGAAACAGTGATATATTTAGGTCAGAACCAAGGCAACATATGATAAAATTATAATCAGTTTAAAGGTCCTATACCTCCCTCCCTCTTTTTTTTTTTGGGGGGGGGGCCAGGGCTGGCTTTGAACCTGCCATGTCCGGCATATGGGGCTGGGGCCTTACTCCTTTGAGCCACAGGCGCCGCCCCTACCTCCCTCTAGATTCCATGCTTATTCAAGACAAAGTAAATACCAAGACAAATGACTATACCTGCTTCTGGTCCCTGGAACAACAACTGCACCACTTTCTTCATTTTTTCTCTGCAGAAATGTTGCAAATTTATTTCTTGTCCTCAGTGGTGTGCTTAAGCCTTTTCTATTGGTAGGTCCACCTACCAGGTCAGGTACGAACATTTCAGAAAAATGTGATGATTTATTACCTTCACAGCTATTCTTCTTGGTCTTCTTTGTAAATGAAAATGAATACTGACTCAACAGGTCATCTTCTGAAAGCTCTTCTAAAAAAAACCCAAAATTATCTGTAAATCTTTGTTTCCCTCATAGTGAGATTTGACCTTAACCTCATTCTACATCCTACTGTCCTAAAGATCAAGTCTGACTTTTGTAAATTATACCTCACAAAAGGAAACACAGGGATGACTCAAAAAGAAAATTTCCTTGGCTATGTTTCATAACTTCACAAATTATTTAAGATTTAATATCAATTATTTGCGAAATTACTCAAATCAAAATTTCAGGGCATAATCATTCTGCATGTCTATATAGTCATCAAATTAAGGGCCTGATTTTGAATGTAAAATATTTTTAGGGAAAATTTATGTGTAAATATATGATTATTGATTTTTTTAAAAGTTCCCAATAAAATCAGCAGCTATTTATACACTCTCTCCATGTGTCATGGTTTTTTTTTTGTTTGTTTGTTTGTTTGTTTTTGAGACAGAGTCTCATTATGTTGCCTTTGGTAGAGTGCCCTGGCCTCACAGCTCACTCTTGGGCTTAAGTGATTCTCTTGCCTCAGCCTTCAGAGTAGCTGGGATTACAGGTGCCCACCACAACGCCCAGCTATTTTTTTGTTGTAGTTGTCATTGTTTAGCAGGCCTGGGTCAGGCTCCAACCCACCAGCCCTGGTGTATGTGGCTGGCACCATAACCACTGTGCTACAGGAGCTGAGCCTGTGTTATGGTTTTTGAAGTATATGTAACTGTTGCATAGTCAAAAGTATTTGTGCCTTAGCTCCAATCCTCATCACTTCAATATTAGTCCCAAGAAGACTGTTGTGTGTCAAATGTATTCTCTAGTATTAGAGAGTCATAAGACTAAATAATATAAAAAAGGTTAAAGCTCGAGACAGTCAAGAACAGAAATAGAACCAAGGTGTTTTAAGTTAGTTCAACTAAATCTGAGTCGAGGCTGGGCACAGTGACTCATACCTGTAATCCTAGCACTCTAGGAGCCCTAGGCAGGTGGATCCCTAGAGCTCAGGAATTCAAGACCAGCCTGAGCAAGAATGAGATCCCAGCTCTATTAAAAAGCAGAAAAACTAGCCAGGAATTGTGGCAGGTGCTTGTAGTCCCAGATACTGGGGAGGCTAAGGCAAAAAGATATCCTGAGCCCAAGAGATTGAGGTTGCTGTGATCTATGATGATGCCCTGGCACTCTATCCAGGATGACAAAGTGAGACTCTGTCTCAAAAAACAAACTAACAAACAACCCTCCCCCCCCCGCCCCAGTCTAAACACCTAAGCTTCTACTCCACACTATTGTTGGTAAGACAGGTTGAGAGTATCAAAATGCTAGAAGCAAGATGACGTCTGTTTTTAAAAGGCACAGCTTTTAAAAAAAGCTTTATCAGTAAACTAGGTTTAGATTTATGGCAAAAGCTAAATCTGTTTTATTAGGTGGAAAATTGTGAACAGTTACAGAAGAAAAAAACAAGTATTCTAGGACCTCCACCAAACCTCCAAGAAGAAGCCACACCAGACCAACCTCACTTGATTGTTAGTATGGCTGGTCAGGGGAATTCATGTATTGACCTTCCTTGAATTCAGCGAGGCGCTTCAGTATCTCTCATATTATCCTAGTGGACTGTGTAGACCAGTATCTATTGTACGCCAGTCATGCAGATTTGCAGCAAGACTACTGGCAACTGTTAATCTCAGGGGAAGTCTGCCTCATGTGCTCTGATTCAGTAATCATTATATAAGGAAAAACATTTTAACCAAAACTTTAAGACATAGGAAGGCATACTTAGCTTTTATAATTTCCAGAAGACATAGATGATACCCAGGTTAGAAGATATTACAAACATTTAAAAAAGAAAAAAAACTTAACAGGCAGAACAATGAATTAAAATGAATTAAGATTACCACAATAGAGATAAATTAACCCACATTTAAGTTCAAAATATAACTGACGCTGACTTACTAGCAACTGGCAAATTTTGGTTACAAACTCGGCAAATGCCAGCAAAATGACGAGAATGGTAATAAACGTGAACATGATCATAGTTTGTAAAAATAAAAGCACAGACTCTGATGGACTGAAACAGTACCGCAATTCTTAAACATCTCCTCTGTTCTACAGTAAGTAGACCATACGATCACACTCACTGGAACAGTACAGTTATTGAAAGTCTAATGAAAATAGATAAGGAACTACGGCCTGGAAGAAAAATTCAGGAGCATCACAATGGTTAGCTCTAAAGCTCTGAGGCACTGTTATATAAAACAGGGATTAAATTTAATACAGTTTTTTGGGGAGGTTGCTTTATATGTTCAGGGACAATATCCATTGTTAAGTGGTAATTGTAAAAAAGTAGATTTAGCCTCACATAAAAAACATACTAATAAAACCTCTCTATGTAAAACGAGCAGACTACCTTGATGGAACAAAAGAAAAGAACCTGCACATACATCATACTTGTTATATGCCAGGTACTTTGATATATTATCTTAGGTAACATATAAAAAATATTGTGAAATAGGCAATATTGTTCTCATTTTATATGAAGAAACAAAAGTTCAGAGACATTATCATAAAGATGGTTTAGGTTCTTAAGAAATCAGGTAATCTATACTTATTAAAAAAATAAAAGCATAAACTAAAATTTTGCAAAGGTCTTTATTTTATTTTTGTTATTTCATTCACTGACAGAGATATCTGAAAGGAGGAAGGAAAATATATAGTCATTCCTCCCACTTCTTTTTTTTTTTTTGAGACAGAGCCTCAAGCTGTCCCCCTGGGTAGAGTGCCATGGCATTACAGCTCACAG